CCCAATATATAAAAAATAAAAAAATTTCTAATCCCCTCGCTATTTTCTAATACCATCTCTACCTCCTTCTTATCAATCCCCCTTCCAAGGGTATTAGTAATACCAAGGGACTAATAGTCCCAAGGCTATCTCTGCAAACAAACAAGGGCATTAGTAATACCTTAGAAAGATCTTTAACGGATTTTTCAGACTTATTTTAATAATTTGAATGGTTTATATTATAAAATTTGTTAAATATATCATTTATATAAAAAATTAAATTAATCAAACATTCGTAATTCCATAATCATGTCTAATTATTTTTTTAAAAATATTAAAATTATGATAACTGTTTATTTTTTAAAAAAATAAATGTACTCTTTTTATAGGATTACATATGCCTAATTAACTTGATTTTTTGCATGAACAATCTACTCAACGAATATTACAATATGAACGATATGAATTATCGAAAAAGATTTGAAACAAACCCTCAACAAGCCTCACAACAGTCACAATAGGAATCCCAATTCCAAGAGGAAGAGGGGTATTAAGGCTGTGTTTATTCATGGATATAGAGATGTATTTGGTTCGTGGATGGATATAGAGCTGGTAGAGCTGTTCGGATTGAGTTTGGGTTACAAGATATATTAAGGTTATATTTGGTTCATGGATTTAGGTACAAATTTGAAGAAAAAAAAAAAAAATGTGAGTGAAATGTGAATGAAATATAATTACATTTTACACATGATATATTAATGTTGTATTTGGTTCATGGATTTAGGTACAAATTTGAAGGGGAAAAAAAAAAAAAAGGAGAAAAAGTTAGTGAAATGTGAATGAAATATAATTACATTTTGCACACATTTTTTTTTTCTTTTCTTTTCAAATCCTAACAAAATCTATGATCCAAACATAACATAATTGTTTGTTTAGGAAATATTTTTTTTAGTGACCTTCTAACTTTTTAGTTAAAATTGAAATAATAAAAAATGAAGATTTTATTTAGTTTGATTTTCAAAATATTTTTTTCTTAAAAAACTAAAATTTAATTTGGTAAAAAATAAAAAATATATTTATCGTTTTTTTATATAGTTTTATCTTTTGGTATGATAGACATAATTTTTAAAAATATCTGTTTGATGTTTATTTTTTTCAAACTAATTTCTATTTTTTCAAAAAAAAAAAACTGAAAATAGTTTGAAAAAAACAAACCAAACAATGTCTTGGAATGCTTTTTTTGACTTTTTTTTTTTTTCAAAAAGACATGTAAAAAATAAAAAGAATATAGAGAAATCTTTGATTTTCTTATCTAATTTTTGAATAATTTTATGACTTTTTAACTAACTTAGGCCTCGTTTGGGAACAGGCTAATTTAGTAACTTTTTGACTATTTAGCTAAAATATGAGCTAAAAAAAACTAATATATTTGGGATGACTTTTTGACTTTTTACGAAAAAAATGTGTAAAAAGTAGAGAGAAAAGAGAATCTTTAACTTTTTGGTATGAGTTATTGACTTTTTGGCTAATTTAGTAACTTTTTAACTTTTTAGTTAAAAGAAAAGGTTCCCAAACGGGGCCTTAACCACTTTCTAAACGCATTCTAACAATATGAATAATTATATTCATGTAAAAATCTTTACAACAATGATATAGTACTGTCTTTTTTTTAAATAAATTTATTTTTATGAGCGTCGTATTTTAAAGTGACAGGTATAAAGTGTATAAAAGTTAAGTATGAATTTTTAAATTTTTTTTGTTTGTTTTTTAAATATTATTACTTTAAGGTTATATATTTCAAATTGATCTAACTTAATCTAATATCAAATCTAATTTAACGATTTCAAATCTCCGCATCTAATATTTGCATGCTTGTAAATGGCTGACTATTTAATGAATTTAAACTTTTAAAAAATTCGGATTTAAGTTATAAAATGCAGCATATATAAAGTATATTTTATTTTTTTAGACTTTATGTAACTAAAAATTTAATATTAAAATTAATATTTTATAAAAAAATTTATTGGGGATTTTATAAATAGGTTAGTTGAGCTGGGCAAGAAATAAGTTTATTTTCCTAAGTTCGATTTAAAAATTAAACATATTCAAAATCTCGATTCAACCTAATTTTATAGATTAAGGCCTTATTTAGGAACATAAAATTTTAGTAAAAAATTCATTATAAAAGTCAATCCATTCTTTCTACTTTTTTATCCGTATTTTTATAAATAAAAAAAATTATTTAAAAAAATTCAATTTTCAAACAAACCTAAATATTTATTACAAATTCTAAAAACATGGACTTGGATTGGCTTGGCCATGAAACCCATGCTTAGGGGTGTTTGTTTTATGGAATTGAGGTGTGAGATTTGATTTCATGTTTAATAGATTTACTATTTCATCATTTGGTTAGAGAAATAAAAGTTGGATTAATAATTAATGCACATAATTTTTAACTAAATAGTAAGACTTTGTATTGCAATATGCTCTTATCCAATTCGTCCAAAGAAACACTCATAGAAAGAAAAAGGAAAAATTATTAGATACTTGTAAAATATTATAAAGTATTATTTACGTGCTACTCCCAAAAAATAATAAATCATAACGTATGATAAGTAAGTATGAATCAACATATTTTCATCCGTGAAAAAATGGCCATGTTGTTGATTTAGAAACTATTGAATAATCACTAGAAAATGAGGGGTTGAGTTTGCTGTTGTGTCTTATGGCACAGTAGTACTGCTGTGAGGTCGTAGAAAGGAATTTTTTGACTATATTTTGATAATATAAACCGTTCATATTGTAAGGTCTGTCGAGTATATCATCCATATAAAAAATTAAGTTAATCGGACATTCAAAACCCAATGATCACGTTCTAATTGTTTTTAAAAAATTATTGAAATCATATTAATTGTTTATTTTTTGAAAAAGAAATATGCTCTTATCAAGAAGCTACAGATGTCCAATTTACTTGTTTTTTGAATGGATGATCTATTCTCAAACCTTACAATATGAATAGTTCAAGTTATCGAACAAGACTCGAGACATGCCCTCAATAGATCTCACAGCAGCCTACTATGCAATAAGTCACAGCAAGAATCCTCAACTCAAAAAGGAGAGGGAGAGGGCTCAAAATTGAGTACTAATTTAGATGTTGTTTGGGGAGTTACCAAAATAATCACACAAAAAATCAAAAAATTATTACAAAAAGTTTTTTTTTTTGGGTGGATACAAAAAGTTAATTTTCTCTTTTTCTTATACATCTTTTAAAAGCGGAATTTGGTTGGTACAAAATTTACTAAAAAATTACTAAAAATTTTGGTTGGTATAAAATAAAAAATTTACTAAAAAAATCAATTTCTAAAAATGTCATCAAACAATTTTTTGATTGGTACAAAATAATAAAATTTGTAATTTTAAGCGCATACAATTTTGAATTTTGAGTGTGAATAAATTTATTTTTGTCAAAACTAGCAGAATTTGGTTGTGCGAGATTCGAGGGCATATGATTGGATAAGCTCTCTTCTATATTTTCATCTCTCTATATTTCTTCATATATTTTTTTGTAAGTTTTAATTTAGACTTATATTGATAATTCGAACTATCTGTCGTGTAAGTTTTATAATAAAAATTATTTATATAAAAAAATGAATTTTATCAAAAATTATAAATTTAAAAAAAATTACATTTTGTTTTATTTGACCACATATAATGTTAATAAAATAAATGTCAATAAATTATTTTATATTGGATCATGTAAAATCACTTATAAAATTTAATATTATAAGTCATTTTATGAGACACTACATTGTGTTTTGACTTATTTGAAAATATTTTCTAAAAATGTTTTCATCATGCTTCTAAATAATAACTTGTAATGAGACAATCTTATTAAATCAATATTATTAAAATTTTATCTTGTTTAAAGTAGGACGTTTTTGTCATATTTAAATTTATAAACTTTTCAATGACATTTAAAATATGGGTATTTAGTTTAATATCTCTTTTTCAACTTATAGTAATAAAAAAAATTCACAATATTTTATTTTATAATCTAAGATCTCTCACCTTTTTATGAGTCTGTGTCTCACCCACACCCATATATCACTCTCTCTCTTCCCTCTCTTCCCTCTCTTCTGAACTCCTCCTCTTCCCTCTCTTCTCTTCTCTCCTCTCTCTCTCTCTCTCTCTCTTCTGAAATTAGG